AAAATAAAAAAGGGGTTAGTAATGTAGTTCAGTGTTAGATTGCCCCTGTTTAATACCTAGTACCCTTAAAACAAAACAAAACAAAAAGCTCTTATTTTTCAATCTTTGTTTTGATTTTTAGTTAATTTTTGTGTATTGCATGATAGGGATCCGATTTTGTATGTGGCTTGTGGCTGTCCCAGCAACCTTTATTGAGATGACTAGTCTTTCCCCATTAAATTATTCTGGCACTGTTTTGTGAGAGAGGGATGCTGGGTATCCTCTATCCAAGTGCACATCCATCTCAAGTGCAACCAGGGCTTTGCACTTGCTGAGCATACACTCTACCACTGAGCTACACCCTTATCCCCCCTTGGCACATTTTTAAATCATTTGGCCATAAATTTAAGGATTTATTTCTAGATTCTTTTCCATTAATCTGCGTATCAATTCATGTGCCAGTATCACATTGCCTTGAGTACTGTGACTTCCTTTCCTTTCCTGGCCCTTCCTTTTCTTCCTTTTTTTTTTTCCCTGCACAGGATGGAACCCAGGGCCTTGCATGTGCTAGGCAAGTACTCCACCACTGGGTTATATCCCTATAGCCTATTATTATGGCTTTTTAGTAAAAGGCAAAAGATTTATACGATCTGAAGAGAAAACAGGAGAGTATTCTATGGCTTTTTAGTAAGTTTTGAAATTGGAAAGTGTGAGCCCTCCAACTTTGTTCTTTTTCAAAATTGTTTTGGCTAATCTGGATTGCTTGTATTTCCATATAAATTTTAGAACTGTCTTGACAATTGCTGCAAAAAGGTGGAATTCTGATAGCATATCTTTTCCATCTATAAATCAATTTTTGGTGTATTGCCATCTTTTTTTTTTTGTAACAGGGATTGAACTCAAGGGCATTCGGTCACTGAACCACATCCTCAGCCCTGTTTTGTACTTTATTTAGAGATGGGGTCTCACTGAGTTGCTTAGTGCCTCACTTTTGCTGAGGCTGGCTTTGAACTTGCAATCATCCTAGGAATTTGGATTTAATAGTTCCCCAGGGAGTGGTTCATGTGCTAACTGAACTTTGAGAAGAGTTGGGTGGGAAAGAAGCAAAGAGAATAAATGATTTGAATAGACATTTAAAGATACATAAATGGTCAATAAGCTAATAATAAAATACTCAATATCACTAGTTTTTCGTGAATCAAAACAACCAGATACCACTTTATAACCACTAGGACTTGGCTATATAACAAAAAAGGGAGCCATAACAAGTGTTTGTGCAGATGTGAAGAACCTGGAACCCTTATACATGACTGGTAGGAATGTAAAATGGTACAGACATCTTAAAGAGCAATTGTTGATGGACATTTATTTATTTATTTATATGTGGTGCTGAGAATCGAACTCAGCGCCTCACACATGCTAGACAAGTATTCTACCACTGAGTTACATCCCCAGCCTCACAGTAATGTTCTTTTTTTTTTTTAAACCCAAAGGCATAAGCGATTATTTATTTATTTATTTTGGTGGTGCTAGGGATTGAACCCAGGGCATTATGCATATGAGGCAAACGTTCTACCAACTGAGCTATATCCCCAGCCCCCCGTAATGCTCTTTAGTACCAACTATGTGTTAAGACTCTGAACTAGATTCTGTATGTGATTAATCTGTAATCTTTACCAAAGCCTGCAAAGAAGGTATTGGCCTCATTTAAAAGATAAGAAAGTAGAAACTCAGAAAGGCTAAATAACTTGGCTAGGATTTTTTCCTACCCAACTAGCCTAGTATGAGATATACTTTAGCAGGACTGTTTTTTACTCTACTATTTAACATGTTCCTAAACTCCCCATTTTAGATGCCCAATTTTGATTAACAGGGATTGGCAAACTTTCTGTAAAGGGCCAGATGGTAAATACTTGTAGGCCATATGATTGCTTTAGTAATTATTCAATTCTTCCATTGTTTCACAAAAATAGCTATGGGCAGAATGTATTGGAAGAGCATGGCTATGTTCCAATAAAACTTTATTTACAAAAGCAAGCAGCAGACTATATTTGGCTTGCTGTCAGGGCATACTTTACTAACCCTGAGATTACAGCATAAGGCATAAGTAAAATTGTCATCACAGAAAAGGTTGGAAAGATAATCAGGGGCCAAATTATGATAAGCTAGGCTTGATAATTTTGGGTCAGTATTTTTCAAAGTGTAGAAGATACTTGTTGAATCAGAATCCCTGGGAATGGGGTCTATTTTTGGATTTAATAGTTCCCCAGGGAGTGGTTCATGTGTTAACTGAATTTTGAGAAGAGTTGGGTGGGAAAGAAGCAAAGACAGTAAAATAAAGACCATCTTGCTGAGCCAGTTTGTAACCATTTCAGGAATTGTTAAAATAGGTTTGTAACCATTTCAGCCATTGTTTTATATTTAGGTGAAGGTATACTTAGCTCCAGCTTCAAAAGAGAATAGTTGGGAGAAGGGCAAAGCCATGGAGTTAAAAGAAGAGTGGCAGGAATTAACCCTCAGTTTAGAGATGCCTACTTTATCTTCTTTCTCCTCTGATTGGAGAAACTGGCAGAAAGGTTAGCAGCAGAAAAGAAGTGATTAGACATTCTCACTTTCTGAAGATGTGGTAAATAAAAGACCTAGGTTGTGGTGGTGAAGGAAATTAACAGTAGCCCTTAACATTCAATGAAGATGGGCTGAGGTTGTGGCTCAGTGGTAAAGCACTTGCCTAGCATGTGTGAAGCAGTGGGTTTGATTCTCAGCACCACACAAAAAAATTAATAAATAAATAAAGGTGCATCAACAACTGAAAAAAAAAGTATTCAATGAAGACGTCACTACTTGCTTTGTTTTTTCTTCATAGCTGTAAAGAGCAGTGGGTAGGCACACAGCTTTTTTCTTTGATCAGTGGGCGATACCTTTTTTAGATGCCCATTTTACCTCTTGCTCTATGTTCCCCGTTTGCTATTATATATATGCTCTCACTCTTTTGCTCAACTAGAGCACATTGATTAATAAAGCCCAGCTACTTCTGGGCAATCACCTTAATGTTATTCTGTTCCAATTAATCATTTTTAAAAATATTTTTATTAGTTGTTCATGGATCTTTATTTTATTTACTTATTTTATATGCGGTGCTGAGAATCGAACCCAGTGCCTCACATATACTAGAAAGTGCTCTACCAATGAGCCACAACCCCAGCCCTCCAATGAATCATTATTAAGTAGTACTTTCTGTTGTTTGAGGTACACTGCTGGATGAAATTTTATATCCTCCTCCTACTACTGTGTGCTAGTGTTAAAAATAACCCCTTTGGGATTTTATATGTAAGGAGAATAACCCAAAATCCTTTAAGTTTTTCTTGGGACTTATTTGAGATTACTGAAGACTTTAAGAAAGCTATTGTGCTTTAAAGATCTGAAAAGGAAGCAACTGAAAATTAGAATGCCGTAGGAGTCACAAGCTGAGAAAATAAAAGAACAATATGTTCTTTTAGCATTCTTAAATGGTTACAAAATTATTATTTTCTGGGAACTATAATGGACCGAATTCAGATATAATTTTAATATTAACCCTTAAAGGGGCTGGTGTTGTGGCTCAGAGGTAGAGCGCTCGCCTAGTATATGTGAGGCACTGGGTTCAATCCTCAGCACCACATAAAAATAAAATATTGTGTCCACCTATAACTAAAAAATAAATATTTTAAAAAGATATTAACCCTAAAAGACTGAACTAGCAAAGACTATGAAAAATCATTTTCTGTTTTTTTCTGGAAAAATTTTGGAACTAACCACTTATGTTAGAAATATCAATGCTAATAGGAAATGTTTGCTGCTTCACACGCAATCCGTTCCTCTAAGTGAGTACTAAGTCCAGAGTACTGTGCTGGGGTTTACCTTCTATCACTTTTCTCAAGGCCTTCTGCATGAAGAAGAAAGGAAGATAATGTAGAATAAAACAGCAAAGAAAAGCTGGACTTTTTTTTTTTTTTATCTCTCTGAGGATGTATGAAACAAAACAGCAACAGCAAAATTTAGTAGTTTAGGTGGAGGTAAAAAGGGCATCCAAACAAAGGAAACCATTATCCAAGGAGTATGCCAGAGAATTCAGAAAATGAGGCTTTGAAAAGCTCTGGGAAGGGCTGATTTCAAAAACAGGCAAATTTTTAAAAGTTTGATTCCTTAAAATAAAAAGGCCCAATTCTTAAACATTCTAAAACACCAATATGCAAATCCCTGACCATCTCTGTCTTCATGGAATAAAACTAAACAATACAAACTTTGATAGATATGAAGACAATATGAATAGGTTATACATAGTTCAACTGTATGAATTAACCAACAATGAACATTCTCTATTATCTTAAAATCACAAAGATGGATATGTTAGACAGGAAAAGTATGATGGAGATGGAATATTACGGTAAATTAACAAGAATAAATTCACTACTCTTTTTAGAGAAAGGCTTTCTAGAGGAGGTTAAATTCCAGACTCTGGCCAAATAGCAACAGGAGCTTAGCAGTGTTCCAACCAACCACAGGAAAATAGCTCATAAGGGGAGTGAACTGATTATATGAATGGGGCATTGAGTGAGGGATTCTGAGAGAAGGGGACTATTTAGTCAAAGGGAATAGGGCTGGTTCAGGGTTCACTAGTTAAGATCTTCCAAACCTAAGACGGCTGAGAAGGCGCACGGAAGGGCAAAAAGAAAAAGCAGAGTAATTTCTTCACTTATTTCGCTAGGCAGGTCAAGGACAATGGTTAGAATTCTCTGGAAAAGCTGGCAAACAGGGTTGTGCTGGGAATAAAGACAGGGCCCTTCCTGGAAAAACACAGCCTCGGTGTTCCCTGAATTCTTGGTTGGGTACCATCAGGCAATAAGTGGAGAGGAGCAGGGATGTGTAAGGGAGGTGTTGCTTGGGTGTTGGCATGGACTTCTGAGCTGAGGCTCAGCGGCAGACTAGCACTTAGCGAAAAGCAGGAGGCGGCGGCAGCTGCGCGTGCAAACCACAGAACTTACCTTACTGTCATCCATTTCGGCAGACAGGCCGGCCCGGCCAGGCACTCCCTCCCCCGGCCCTCCCCTGGCTCAGCCGGCCCGGCCCGGCCCCCGCCCCGGGGAAGAAGGAGATATGGTTCTGACTGTCTCCTCCTCTCGCCTAACAGTTCACTTCCCTGATGCCAGTCACGGGGACCAGGGACTAGTTCAGGAATGGCAGAGCGGACCTTGGAGGCGGCCCAAAACGCCTCCCTTCACTGCCGCCGCCTCCTCCTCCCTCTCCATGACAGTCTCTGGGTGTGTTTACAGACGCCCTGGAGAGCCGCCGAGTCCTGAAAGTGGGCGGTAGTGCCGCGCGCGTAATGGTCCCTTCGGCTTCCGTAGCGCTGCGGTAATTGTGGGAATTGTAGTTTTCCTTTCCGTAGTCACTGCGCAGCTGACTGAAAAGAGAACTACAATATCCAGAGAGCCTCAGAAAGGGGCGTCTGTTTTCCCGTTGGCCTACCAGCACAAGGAGGCGGGGCGTGCGGAAGTCTGAAACTGCGTTTCCCACAGCGCGAAGGGCCTTGGGTTTGGTTCTGGAGTGCCAGCGGTTGCCGGACAGTGAAAGTGAGGTTTTGGGGCCCTGCGAGGCAACGATGGAGGCAGGGCCCTGGGAGCAGGCGTTTTACGGGACTCTGGGAAGGTGCAAAATAAAGTTATTTTAAAAAATTAATTTATGTATTTATTTGGTACTGGGGATTGAACCCAGGGAAGCTTAACCTCTGAGCCACACCCCCAGCCCTTTTTTTAAAAAAGTATTTTATTTAGAGACAGGGTCTTGCTCAGTTGCTTAGGGCCTCGCTAAATTGCTGTGACTGGCTTTGAACTGGCTCCCGAGCTCCTGGATTACAGACATGCACCGCCGTGCCCGGTTTAAGTTTTCTTTTCTTGTTGTTTTTTCTTTTTCTTTTCTTTTTTTTTTTTTTTTTTTTTTTTTTTTTTTTTTTTT